CCCCTATAAAGAAAAAAACCTCTCCAAAAAAAAAAAAAAAAGTCTTTTGAACAAATTTGTAGATAAATCATTTTACAAAATAGAAGAAAACAAAAATATTTTTAAAAGAATTATTTAATGTTGCTGTTATTTTTTTAAAAGAATTATTTTATTGAACTTAATTTTCTAATTTGATTGGAGAGAGACAGAGAAAGAGAGAGAGGGAAAGTGAGAAAGCAAGCCACCACGTCCAGGACTCAAACTGTGGTCGGCCATGTGGGAGTCCAGCGCCCTTAACCACCACGCCACCTGCCGACCCCTACGTTGTTATTATTTTGTTGTTGTTGTTGTTGTTATTATTTTTTAATTTGACCAGAGAGGAAAAATGAAAAAGCAAGCCACCAGGTTTGGGACTCGAACCTTGGCCACCCATGTGGGAGTAAAGCACCTTAACCATCATGCCACCTGCCAGCCCCCCCAAATAATATTTTTAATAGATGCTTAGGGAGAATTTGTGCCATAAGGTTCAGTGAGGTTAGGTTTTATTTCAGCTTACATATCAAAAGTTTTATAAAAGTGACTAAATTAAGTGAAACTTATCAACTGAATTATAAGTATTTGCTTTCCTTTACGTAAAATTTTACTGATTCAGTAGGAAGAAAACTCACTGAGTGGCATAAAATTAATTCTGTAGATTTTCATTTAAAGAAAACATATGCATTCAGCCTACTTTTAGCAAGAATTAAGAGCACAGAAGTTAGCTATTTACCTGATAATAAATAAACCGACCATTTAACATTCTTTAATTCTATACTAAAAGAGGAAGAGCAAAAACATAGAGGGGAAAGGGGAAGGAAAATAAAGATGAAGGCAAAAATGAGTACAGTGGATCAAGTGAAAGCCAGGCTGTAAGGCAGAAGACCAACACAGTGAGACCAGTTTAAAAAAAAAGAGAGCGAGAGAACAGAAGGGCCTTCAGAGAGAAGGACCTTTGCACATGTTTTCCCTTCTGCTCAACATTCTTCTCCTCCTCTCCTCCTCTTCCTCTTCTTCTTCTTCATTTAATTTAATTTATTCCTGAGAGGGACAAATATAGGTACCCTCAGAAGGGTTTTTATGCAATTACCCTGTCCCTAGGCTGCAGCCAGTCAGGATCATATGTGCCCAGTGTATTCTGGTAGTCTGGTAGACCCAAGATACAAACCTGGAGCTTTTCTGTATGACTTCTAGCATTGGGTAGTAGCAGCCCTACAGCTTGTGCTACCATAGCTGCATGCAGTATGCTCTTCTAGCCACACTTTCAATCTCAAGGGCTTAGCTCAAATACCACTTCCTAGAAGAAGCATTTTTTGACTTGCCCTCTCTTCCCTCATACATTATTCTCTTTCCCAGTCAATGCTTTGCTCACTTCTTAAAACTTAATGATAATTTGTAGATAGTTTTGGTTTTGGTCCCTGGTTGGTATCTTTCTCCTACCATGTTATTAAATTTCTTGAGCGTGGACTGTCTCTCTGATTTTCCTCTATAGTTGTGTTCCTCTCATAGTGTAAGAACTTCATAATTACCTATTGACTATCAATTAGATAATTCTGGAGGGAGTATTTTATCAGGAAAAAGTAGAGTAGTGAGGGTACTAGAGATATCAACAAGATAATAAAATCAGATGTAATAGAGTTACAGAGTAAGGGATCTGTGTGGATGTGAGAATAAAATCAAAGATAAAAGATGTAATTGAAATAATATTTGAGAGAATCTCCAGTGGGGCATGGTCATGACATGATATGATTTCTTTTTCTCTACTTCTCCATCCTGTCAAGATCCTGGGCAAAGCTGTATTACATGCCTTGTCTGTCTCTCAAGTCACCAGGTATGGTACTTGAACTGTGGTCAGCCATGTGGGATCCAATTTCCTTGATTACTAGGCTATGGGATTGGCTCTGAAATAAATATTTAATAATTAGTTTCAGTTGCTAAAAATATACCCATGAATAAGTGTGGTAAAAGGGTGTGGTGGAAGTAAAGGTAACTAAAAATTACAAGGAACTGAAATTCAAACTAGATAATTTGTGTAGGTTCTTTATAAAAGATGCTAAAGGACTTGGGGTCAGGAAGCAGGTCCCATGGTGTTCAGTAACTGATGATGTATAAGCAGGGTGTTTGTTAGGTGTTACCTGATAATAGCAACAAGGAGGAGCAGAAGATGGTATAGCTTTTAAGGTTTTTGTTTTTGTTTTTTTCTCTTGGAGAGGTTTTTGGTATAGGGTGTGTGTGTTTGCCAGAAAGACAGAGAGAGACAGAGAGGTAGAAAGCGAGAAATCACCCCCCCCCC